ATATGACCCAAGCCAACATAATGTACTTAAAAGTTATGAATTAAGCATGAGTATGAAACAAAGAGCTCATTTGAATCGAAGTAACGCAAAAGCAAAGCAAATGAGCATAACCAAGTGACATGACATAAATATAACAAAGTAGAGAGTACACATGTCACAGAAGTCCCACAATCACACATATATCACAATGCATGAAAGTAAACGTGAATATATGAAGTATCACACACAAAAGAACGAGTCCATCTCACATGCTCCCCCTAAGTCTAACATACTCGCTCCCTCTCCTCCTTTGGCGTCAAGCACCAAAACCTAAGGGTCAGACGACGGGGCGGGAGCAGACGAGTCGGGTGTAGAGACATGGGGGGTAAGCTCAAACCGGGTCGCATCATCATCTGACTCTGAACTCTGAGCTGTCGGACCCTCTAGAGCAGATTCACGCTAACCCTCTGTAACTGGAAGTGTAGGTGAAACAGTCTGGGTCCACTCGGTGGACTCAGTAGCTGGGTCGGTCGGCTGAGACTCTGAAGCTGTGGTAGTGGCCTGACCCTATGGCTCTGAAGTTGTCTCTGTAGGAGCCATGACTGTCGCTGTCTCTGTCGCTGAGGCCTCAAGGGTAGGAGCGACTATCAAAGGTGGCTCAGACGAAGCAACCGAAGACGAGATCGTCTTGGTAGTCCATGTGACCGGAGCTACTGCAGTATTAAAATAGTTAACTAACATTAGTTATGACTAGCATGAAATCACACCAAAGTAACTTTAAACATGAAGGTTAGGTGGCGAGGTCCATCTTTTAGTTATTCACTGAACACCCGAATATTAACTAGCAAGCATAACAAGTACATTGAGAAAGGCAACTTGCCCCCAAGGTATTTTAAGATGGTTTCTAAACAACACCTAAACATCCCTAACATACACCTGGCACTTATTCAAGGTAGAGTAAAGCAAAGGTCATCAAACTTGTATAAGCAACATAATTACTAGTTGTTATATCAACATGAGAGCATACTCATAAGCTATTTAAAAGCTCAAACAAAACCAATATTCTCCAGCAATATACCATTTAACACAACTATTAGAATCATCACAAGAGACATTCAAAAGCTTATTCACTATTAATCATCCACTAACCCCTTATATATAAAAAACTATATATAAAATATAAGTGATGTTGCAAACATAGAATTTAGAGCTGAGATTTTTATGGGTGAGAGATGTTATCAAAACATGACTATTGTACAAATATTACATGCTCAGATTTTATAATTTAATTATTACAAACAAATCAAGTTTTAATCACAATAAAGCATGTGAGAGCAAGATAAATCTAAAGATCAACATTTTCTGCAAACACATGGCCATATTAAGTGTTCATTTGACATAACAACATCAAACAAAGGTAGTGGAACTATATTTTCTATTTTTACACATGTATATTATTTATAAACCATTTAACAAGCACTAAATAATTTAAATCAATATTTCAATCATACATGCATAAATAAATTTGAAATTTTGACCACAGCACAAGCATCACATGAATAGCCTACCATAAAATTTTCACAACAATTGAAGCACTACAACAACATATATGAATTTAACCATAGAAAACCCTAAATATCATATATATAAATCTACATAAAAACTTTCTACTAAAATATGCCATATTATGCTTCTACTATATATATCTACTCACAAGGATTTTAAAACATCTTCATTTGATATTTTATGATTTTTCTATGATTTACTACGCAATTTCAAAGTTTTAATCGATTATATGCATTAAAGAAAAGATTAATAGATAAAGGAAAAATACTTTTGCATCAGGAACCCTGCACTTTTCTCAAATCTACCACAGAAAAATCCATTGTTAATATGATTCTAGGGTTTTGCATCTGGACCCAGCAAAAAGTTTCTATTTCCTTTTCCACCCTTCTCATCTTCTTCTCGATGGAACAGAGCAAGGGACGGCGGACGGAGGGGTCGACCGGCTCAGGCGGCCGTGGACACCCGCGGTAGCAGAGGAAGGGCTTCGGGGCCTGGCAGCGGCAGTCCGCGCCCGTGGCTGGCACTGGCTTGGCCCGAGCTGGCTCGAGGCAGCCTGGCCATGTGAGCCCGCGGCTCGATGGCGGAGCGGCACGACGATAGGTCGCCCCGGCGACGAAGCGAGACCGGAGTGGGGTCGCTCCGCGTGCAGCATGGCGCGGCGAAGGTGGTGGTGGCTGCTAGGCACAAGGAGGCGCGGAGGCAAGCAGACACGGCGGCGGGAGCTCTGCGGCCGTCCATAGCGAGCGAGAGCGAGAGCAGAAGGGAGAAGGGGCGACGTGAGCGACGAGCGAGAGAGAGCGCCTGGGGGCTGGGGTCGCGGAGCTAGGGACTCGACATCCACCCATCGAGCGAGGGAGAGGCAAGGCACGCGTCGGCATGGTGGGGCGCGAACTCGTGCATGCGGGACACGTCGGCATTTTCACGAACACTTGGCGAGAGACGAAGTGGCCGTGTTCGGATCCAATTTCGGCATATTCCGTCGAGATCCAGGTCTAGGTCGTTGAAGCAAAGTTACTGCTCTCCTAATAGCCTACAAGATTGCTTAAGAGATCATAGTCATTATGGCTCTGGATCAGCGGATAATTAAGCTTCAAACTGATAATGTCAGCGCGTTGACAGTGATTAAGGGAACTCAATCTTGATGATCAAAACGAAGTCAAACTCCTGCCAAACTTCTCTAAGTTCTTCTCCATGGAATTAACTCCAACTTCTACTTTTGGGCCAAATCAAGTTGCTTAACGAAAATACGAGAACGGGACATGCCAACCGTCATTGCCACTAAAATTCTCAGACTTTGAATTATTTCAGAGAGGGAACAACAGCAGCAGATTCAATCTTTGAGCCTCTGTTTGACTCGTGTCCAAGCTGATTTGGCTCTTGGTCCAAAAACAAAGTTTGGTGTACACATCTAGCTCTACAATGTTGCTTAAAGGTCAAACCTCGTATCTAGAAAAGAAGTCATTGTTTCATCCTGGTCAAAGCAGCATCTCGATAAATCTTAAATTATCCTTTTTGATCCGTTGAAGCATTTTCTTAGCTCTTGCTCAACACAAACCATTCATGACTTTTGTTCAAGAACTTAATTATAGTTGTTTGAGCAAGGTGACAAGGTTTGGTTGACTTCCAAGCCCCTATTCACTTAAGAAAGTAATCCAAGCAAGAATATAACTTGTCATTCCATTGACCTCTCAATTCCAAACTTCATGAAACTTTTCAATGATCAAGATAGCTTGATATTAAGGTGATGCTCATGAAAGAGGCATGTTTAACACTACTCAAGCCTATATTTGAAAAGGGTTAACATGTAAGTAAAGGTGTGTTATCCAAGCTTAAGTTGGGGCTCATATTTATAGATTTGACCTCGAAACCTTCATTACCACTTCCAAAATTTTAGACTAGAGCTCTCGATCATCACTTGACATAACTTACTTGAGTCTAAACTCGTTGCTTAACTCGTGACTAACACCTGGGTGTTACAGGAGGCACTGGTGGTGTTGTTAGCGCGGCAGTGGAGTGTTGGATGAAATGCCTATAACGAGAGAACGAAGAAAGGACGGTGGTAAGGTTACCACATTGTGAGTACAAGGTAGTCATACGTCCATATACCCATTTGTACAGGGCTACAAGCAAATAAACACGATCTCTCTCCAGTCTGGCTTATTTTGGTGCAACGAAACAAACACGAGGTTGCACCATGGGGGCAAGCTCGAGCTGCCCTCAACCAGGCCAGTCGTCCATATCGAACAAGACTAGGCAAACAAACAGGCCTTGAGAGTTCCAGGTGAGGAACTTAGAAAAGATTTCCAGTTTTTAGGTGAGGCACATCGTACAAGTTTCTAGTTTTCAGGCATTGTACGAGTTGTATCCCATGCCACTGTTTCGGCATAAGAGGAAGGGCAATAATAGATCTAAGTGTTTCGCTATAAGTCAACTTATAAGAGCCAAATTATACAATAGTTGTCTTCTATTTGTCCACGATTTATTATTATTATGTATCATGTCTCATATCTCTTTTATATTTCTCCTCACATATATCTTTATCTGGACCCACCATTATCTATGTTTCCGTGCCTAACTTGTTGCTTATATGAGGACAGATCTAATGGTGACTTAGCTAGCTCTAAGCATATTGTTTTATATTTAAATAAAAGAGAGAGAAGAGTTATCTATTGATCAAGAGCTAGTTTCATGCATATATTCTAAGATTATGTGAGTGTCATATGGACATATTCACGTTATAAGGTATGTGCTAAAAACTAACGTCATTATAAAAGTTGTCTTAGAGCTAATAATTAGCTCATACTATTAAGAATGTTCTAAGAGCCAAACACTTCTCTCGCATCCCTTATCTCCTTCGTATCAGCGAAAAAAAATGCCAACCAGTTTGCTGAGTGTTCCAGCTTATCCTCGTGCAAACCTGACAGCCCGTAGGAAGAAGTGCCAGGCTGCCAGCAGCAACACACCAAATAGTGAAGTGGATCGGACGGTTCGCTTGGTCGTATTTGGCTTATAATCCATGGCTTATCAGCCAACGAACAGTATTTTTCTCTCACACCAAACCAGCCAACAGTACTTTCAGCCATGACTTATAAAACAAACCAGCCCAAACAAACAAGGAGTTGATCGTCTGAAATCCTAAAACCCAAGGGAACAAAAACACACCATATGCAAATTGGCAGATTACTGAAACTTATTCGAGAGTTTTATTTATAGAACACAGATCGAACACTTGACTTGCTCAGTCAAATTATTCAACAGGCAATCCTACGACTACGAATGCTTTTCGACGCTGCAGTGATGATCTGCCATTTTTAAGGTTCTCTATTTCTAGTAAATACATTGTGATATGCTCTATAGCTGTAGGAAGGAAAACACCAAATTCCTCAAAGAAAAAAGAAAGAAGAATGAACTGAATAGTCAACAATATCCCAAGGGATCGAGCAGACCAGATTTTCCTAAATCTGGAGAGCAGAAGCAATAGGTCCAGCCAGACTTAGAATTTCAAATGGCCGCCTGCCCTTCACCGCATTGACAGTAAGGGAGCATGAATCAGTAAGCCAAAAGTGGCTCAGGCCATGCTCCGGACCCTCTGAAAAAATTACAAAAAAAAAGGGTTTGTATTATCATCATGAACATGAGTGGCACATTATTCACACATAAAATAGATTCTGAAGTACTGAAAGCTCCAAGAATGCCTTGGAACAAGTGTGCCTCCCCAACATTCTTTGGGCAAGGTAACTAGGTAAGCATGTGATACAGTGATAGGAAGTAGGAAAAACTGTATTTTCAAAAACAAAGTTAATACGGAGTTAGATGGAACCCTGAAGGAAAAATCAAAGGAATACTAGGCGGTGCTTATTATCAACTCTGTGTCTCTAGTCTCTACCGCATAACGGGATTAGAACACTGAAACTTTTGTTTTGTCTGCTTCTGCATCCTCGAAAGGTTAGGGTGAAAGGAAAATCATTGATAAGGGTTTAGGGGTCACAAGGGGAGCTGGAAGTCAAACTCTTTTTTCTGTGAGGAACTGAAATCATCTTGTTCACCTATCATTGAAAATTATTAGGTTTTCTTTTTTGTATTCTTCAGGATTTCATTCCATGCAAGCCCTTTAAAGATGGAAAAGTTTTGCCTTGATAAAAAATATGAGTCTTCCCTTCAGTTTCTATTTTGTTCTTTGCAAAAAGTAAACCAATCAGTTGCTTAGTCAAAAAATGTTAGGTGGGCGAAAAAAAAAATAGAATGTTACTCCCTGAAAAAAAGAAGAGGAAAAGTACAAACAGCGAAACAGAAGTCCTACCAGCTAATCTATCATGCATCTCTTTGTAGATAGTATAAAATTAAAAAGGTGTCAGCTGAGAGAAACTGAACTACTAAAATGCTTACTTAGCTTGTTTTCTATTCAATAACTCCAGAAAGAAAATAATAGCAATGTGGAAAATTTATAGCATGCTAAGGTAATGAAGCATATGTACCTCCATTATCATGCTGAAATTTCTCCCATGAGTTATTGGGGAAAATGCCATGTGTCACGTATGCACTGACCTTTGCTGCTCCATGAGCTGCCAGTACTTTCTGGACAGGAAAAATGAATGTTAAATTGCAACTCTCAAGAGAATATACATAATTAGAAGCCATTATAAATTGTTTCTAAAAAAATTAAGGCATAAATGTGGGCACCCCAAAGACCAGAAAATATTGAAGATCATCAATAGTCACTATACACGGTATAGAAAAATAAGTCACAGACAATTCTTTTACCTGGCACTCAATCAAAGTACCACCAGACTGAACCAAGTCATCCACTATAACAACATGACGGCCTCTAGGATCTCCCTCTTTTATCCGTACAATTCTTTGCTCCCCTTCTCTAACTTTGTTACATACAACCTACAAAAAAGCAATTTATGAAAACAATCCATTAAGAAAGGGGCTAGCCTTTTTGTTTCGAGATTTGGAGTTGGAGGCAGTACTCAAACAAAAACATACCATAGGAAAATGTTGAAGTTGCTTATAGAAGCGCTTCCATGCACCATCATCTGGAAATGCTATGGTTATCTGATAAAGATATTAAGGATTGTATCAGATGAGACAATGCACAACATCAACAAAATAAACTTGCTGTTCACTTAGTCAGGTGTACTCACATTATGGGAATCAGGTAGCTCCTGAAGCCTACTTTTTAGCAAGGGGATGCCACTCTCGAAACATGGTAAGACTGAGTCTCCAAAGTAGAATCTCTCCTGATGTGTTATTAAGCACAAGGTTATTTACACACTGATGCTAATATATTTGACAGACCAAGACAAGAAGCTCAATGGATTATGTGTAATAATTTTACTTGCCTGCAAAGCATGGATATCAAAAATTACTAAACTTGAAGGTCCACCTCGTGATATTGGTATATTTGACAAAAATCTGGCAAGTGTAAAGGCGGTTGCAACGTCTCCTTCATCTTCCATGCGCTCAGAAGTCCCGGTTGGGAAAAATGGGAGTATAAGAGTAAATGAAGAAATAAACAACTTTGGCAGATTATATATGACAGATAGTTGCTCAAATATGACACTGGGCGAGCTAAACGAAGCCAGAAAGGCAACATGCTGCCCACGAATGTTGTGGGCATTCGAGATGAACAAATTCGGGTATCCATCGGGAAATTTTCTGAAAAAATAGTACCAAAGTTAGAATAAGAGAGAAGGTTGGTTTACTTTTGCTGAAACAAAAAGTTGCTGCTGAGATAGGACATACAAAATAATCTGACAGAACAAATGCGACTGACACCTATAAATAAAATAACTAAGCTAAGAACATTCGAATGATTCATTTCAAACCTAGGTCATTCACTGAAGCAATCACGTAAGTAATGGTCAACTGGAGCCTACGGTGGTTTCATATTATCGGTGGCTTGAATGTAGCAAGCTCGTGTTGTCCTAACTCCTAATCACAATCACAACACAGCTCCTAAAACAGTGTACAGCTTGCACTCAATAGCCATCTTTTGTTGCATAAAGGCCAACAAAGACTCAAAGAGTATAGATTAGAGTACTGACAAACTAATTGTGAAACCTACTAGTATTTGGTCAGCACTGCCCCACCAAACGGTGACATATATTCATACTAATTTTCCGCCCCCAATTTCCTCCCTGTTTCAGTGTTTCCCCTGAACGTCATTCATCGTCTAGAGGGTAAAGGTAAAATGTCATATTGCGTTTGTTTGTCCGTGCAGAGTTTAATCTTGTCAAACTTGCCAAGAAACCGGTACGACGACTCCTTAGCTAGACGCAATTAGAGCCCCGGTTGTGAACCGATCGAACGAATTCCTATTCCGAGGTCATAATAATCAATAACTAACGGTAGCGTTCAACAAGGAGGGAAAAAACAGCAACAACACGATGCTGGAAGAGAAGGGAAGGGGAAGATGATGTGACCTCCATGAGATGGAGCGCAGCTCGATGTCATCGTTCCGGGCGGCCACCTGCTGCGCGAGGTCCCGCATCTCCTCGCAGTAGAAGAGCAGGACGTTCTTGTGGGACTTCATGGAGCCGGCCATCTTGGGCACGGCGAGCGGCGCGATCGTGGGGGGCACGTGGAGCCCGGTGCCGTTGGCGGCGGCGGCGGCGCTGCGGCTGCTGCTGCTGGCCGCGCCCACGCCGCCGAGGTGGAGGCTGGCGCGGGACCTGCCGCAGGCGGGGGTGCGCGGCGAAGGCCTCGCGAATGCGGGGCTCGGGGTCAGGGCTGGTGCGTGCTCAGCCAACGGGCTGGGGCTGGGGTATTGGCGCCGAACGCGCCGGGGGAGGCGGAGGCGGCCGTTGCCATCCGCCGCACGCCGCGGTAAAGGTGGAGGAGGTTGTTGGCAAATAGCCCAAATAGGGCGAGTAGCGGTGTTGGCAGACGAAGCGATGGATCTTTTTGCGAGATAACTAACTTTATAGCGGTGGCCAGTGGGGTTGGATGAAGGACAGCGGGTCAGCGGCGTAGGCGCGCCGGCGCCCGGTGGTGACCTGGCCTGGTGGGTGCAAGCGGAGCCACCGCGGAGGGGGAGGCGTGCAGCACTGCAGCGCGCGAGGCAGCCGGCAGGCGAGCGCGGAAGTCTGTTGTCTGTTGATGTGTGCAGCCGATACAGATCCCGACCGCTGGCTGCGGCGGCAGATGCACGATCACGGAACGTTTTTCGGGTCCGCGTCGGCGCGTGGAGGTAAAAAAAAAAACTTAGTTTCTCTGTCCTAAAATAATGCCTTTTCATGTTTTGTATTGGTTATTAAAATTTTTTAATTTTGACTAAATTTATAAAAAAAATATTAATAATATTTATATATCTTCAAATAAATTTTCAAAACGAGCATTGTTCGAGTATCATAGCAAAGAGCCGCTCCGATAAAAATGAGCTAGGAAACAAAGAAGCTGTATATTTGAGTTTTTTTTGTTCTACTACAGTACTGATACAATGTAACTTGTGCAACATTATAAGATTATGAATATTCGTTGATGTTACTCCATTTCTGTTTGAGTGGAACGGACAGATTTTTGGTCAAAGTTTCTGTATGCTGCCTGGCTGCCTGCTTATACGGGAGCATCGGATGCTAATTAGAAGGACTAGATATAAACTAATTATAAAACTAATTGCATCATGGGTTAATTAACGAGACGAATCTATTAAACCTAATTAATTCATTATTAACAAATATTTATTGGAGCACCACATTGTCAAATCATGGATTAATTAGACTTAATAGATTCGTCTCGTAAATTAGTCTTCCATCTATGTAATTAGTTTTGTAAACAGTCTGTGTTTAATACTCCTAATTAGTATAAGTGTCCAGTGTGACAGGGCTAAAGTTTAGCGTGCATGAACCAAACACCTTCGTCGCAGAGAATTCGAATAGCAACAACCCGTTAGCTTCCCGGAAGCGACGTTCACCTGCGGCTGCCCCACGGCGTTCGAATTGGGTTGGTAGAGACGAGAGGAAAAACAGTATGACTGTGAGCGGTCCAGGACTACACTGACAGTCTACGTCGTCTTTCAGTTCTTCTCTGGTGCTGACTAGTTCCACGTGCCGGCCAGTACCTATCCGCATTTTCCACGCCAAGATTATGTACAATGAGATCCGCAGGAGGCGGAAGTCAATCAAAGAAAGAAAGTTGTATAATTGACATCTGCACGGTTGACAGAAACAGATTCGATCGCCACGAAACCAGCATCAGGAAAACGAGGCAAACCATCGATACAGCTATTTGTACATACATGCATTAAACTTGCGCCGAAATTGTCCTCTTGGATTGCAGGTATTCAGTCAGCACCCTTTCGTTTCCGCTGCTCAGCTCGACCAGCCTCTGATGACGACCCGATGCGCACGTCAGCTGCCACCTCCTCCCCCGCTTCACGTGCTCCGGAGCCTGACCGCCGGCACGGCCGGCTCGACGACGCGGAAGACATGGACGCGGAACTCGGCCGCGCCCACGAGCTCGAACACGCAGTAGTCCCCTTCCTCGAGGCAGTTGCCCCGCGTGAAGGCGCACCAGCCGCGCGACAGCCGGTCCCTCGTGTTGGGGATGTAGAGCACCACCCACGCCTTGCCGCCCGGGTCCCGGAGCACCACGTCCGTGCGCTCCCGCGGCAGGTGCTGCCGCGAGAACCCCGTCGGGAACCTCTGCAAGCGAGAGAACGCGTCCAGTATGTCAGTCGTCACCACCATCAAGCAGAGTGGTGGAAACAATGCAAGTAACGTCCTCACCATCATGAACGAGTAGTAGACGTGCATTGTGCTCATGCGGATGACACAGTAGGGCAGCGACGACCGGAACGCGTAGGCTAGCTCCATGGCGCGCTGCCGCTCGGCGCCCGTCACGGGGCGACGGCGGGACACGTACCCCTTGTAGCGCCTGACGGAGTCCGGGATGTCCGCGAGCGCCTGCAGGTCCTCGTGGATGCTCCGCGTTTTCACCGCGCGCCGCTTTTCCGCGCCGTCCTCGACCTGCTGGGGCTCCGGGCCGCGCTTCGGTGCGCGGTCCGGCGACGGCGGTGGCGTGGGGATCATCACGCACAGCGCTGCCTCGTCGCCGTCCTCAATCTCGGTCTTGACGGCGCCAGCTGCCGCAGCACACACATTGGGTTGTAAGAAATTTTTTTAAGCAAGTATAATAAAAGCGATATGAGTGAGTCGAATAATGTGTCATGTCATTCATTTTTCTAGATTTTTAAAATATTTTTCCTATTTTTCTAGAGCCAAACCTAATTTATGGAAGCTTCTAGATATATTTTCACCATCTCTAGATATTTTATTTGTGGTTCACATGTCTGAATTTATATCTAGGATTTTTAATTTCATGACATTTTATGGGCTTATAGATATTTTTCATAGGATTATTCATGTGTTTACCAAAAGTTTTCAACTATACAATGACAAAACCACCTCTAATAGGGGCAAGGAGTTAATTTAAATGGTTCTGGGAGTTGAGGGAGGAAGTTTCGTCAGTTTTTAGAGTTTGAGGAAATCTGGATTATAATGATAGTCCAAAGAGGCAAAAAAAAAAAGGACTTTTTCTGAGAGTGGATTGGGTACTCAATTGAGACATGGGATGACATTTTAAGTAGCTTGGGCAGCGATGTGATCCTTTCCCATTCAAATTAGGCACTGTTAAGTGGCTTGCAAGCCATGGCTTCGGTGTGCTTGAACGGGAAAGGATCACCTCGGCCTTTGGTTGGGCTTATTTTTCCTGTTGGGCCTTTGGCCACAATATTAAAACTGCTAGCAAGATGACCCATGTAATTGTGCGGCTAGTATGTCCTTTAATTTTTTTATACAACTTAGCGTGAACTCTCATTTACTTTTAGTCTCATTTTTCTACTTCAAAGTCTATGGCTACATCACTGTTTATTGTCACCATAAGTATTGTCCCACCATAACTGATCTGCGCGCTATATCTCTCTTTACTGGTTGGTTAAAGCAATGACCTCAAGCTATATCTATGTGGCTAAGTTTGGTATAACAATTCATATTATCTTGTACAATTCACTTATGCATTCCTCTTTGTGTATTGATGGCCCCTCGGCATCCCTTTCTCATTGCAGGATATCAAAGTTCAAAGTTTCTTGTTAGCTTTACATATTACAATATTTTTAATTCCCAACAGGTCTTATCTTGCGATATCTTGCGAGCTTTTTTATGTTTGTTTCTAAAAACTCTTACATTAAACTATGTTTAGATTTGTATTATATTTGAGATCAAAAGATAATTTGAATTGCTACTTTGAATCTCTTTTAATTCCAAGATCGAGATTCAATTACTTAGCCAAACATAAAGAAGCTATTAATATAGAAATAAATATAGGTATTTTGGGTTATTTTTTGCATGATAATAGTGTTGAGTAATTTATCAACATGTAGAGAGGTACTTTAATTTTATTTTCTCCGATTAATGTAGTACTACCTCTGTTCTAAATTATAGATATTTTGGCTTTTTAGATATATAATTTTTATTATGTATATAGATACATCATATATTTTAGTGTGCAGTAAAATTTGTACATCTCAAAAGTTAAAAATGACCTATAACTTGGAACATAGTGGGTGATTTATAGGCCTTAAAATTAATTATGAGGTTTATTTTGTGGCCAAATATTGATTTAGTAATTTCTAGGCCTTGAAAATTAAGTGGAATCTTCTTTTATTGGTAAAATATTAAAATAATAAATTGGGTTGTTCAAGCCATAAACATGACCCCTGATTCGGGCTTACCCGATTCTGGCGTCCAATTGGAGCATGAAACCTGCTGCTCACGTGGCGCACGGTACGGCGCCAGCTCCTTCCCGACGGAATCCTTGTTGGCCCGCTTGGCATTGGCATCACGCGAGGGCCCGGCCCTCGCGCGGCGCCGCTTGTTGCTCTGCCGCTGCCGGCCACGGCGGCGCGGGTCGGCGCCGAGCAGCAGGTCCTCCCGCTCGCAGGCCGTGGTGTCGAACACCATGGCGGTGAAGTGCGTGTCGCCGTCGTACCGGAACACGAGGAACTCGAGCTCCCGCAGCTCCTGGTCCTGCACGAACTTGGGCCAGCCCGAGGTGAAGAAGGTGCCCTCGGCGGACCGGCGGATGACCACCAGCCACGTCCGCCCGCTGGGGCCCTCCAGGGTGGCCGCCATGGACGCCTCCTTCAGGGTCGTCTTGGCCTTCCTTGACGCCTCCCAAGGGATGTGCTTGCAGAAGTCTGGTGGGATCTTCTGCATGATGCATGTAACAATTAATTATTGAGTACATACAGTAGTAGCACTATTACCATATGCATTATTCATTTATAAACACAGCATTTGAACATGATTAACAGTGCATTTGTATAGGTCAACGAACAGCGACAACATCATTTTCTTGGCATGCGAAACATGCAAGCTATGCAAAAACTCATTTCACAAAGTGCACGAATATCTTGCATTGCATGAGTGGCATTTTTCAGTGGCTTGGTTCATATGTCTACAACAAAAATGGTCTCTCCTATCATGCCAATCATTAATATAATCAAAACATGGGTCTGTTTGGTTCATGATCATAACTTGCCATACCACAAGCCAGGCTTGCCACAATTTCTTAGATATGTGTTTGGTTTGTTACTGTAACTATGACACACCACACTTTCTTAGTACCATGTCTCACACATGTCATAGACTCATTGACTTGCCAAACCTTACCAAAAGTGTTGCTTCGTTTTTTTTCTCGCCGCACTGTGTTTGCGTAGTAAGCTGGGCGTGGCAAGGTTGGGAATTCACCAAGTCTGTGGCTACTACTTGTATAGATTCGCACACATGCATCACATGCATGCGAGGAAGCATTTTAACACAATGTAAACTGAGCCATCAGTCACTCACCAGGCGCTTCTTGAAGTCGCCCATGAGCACCTTGAAGAAGTGCGGCCGCCTCTCACCGCTCGCCCACGGCGACTGCCTCTCTGCGGCCGGCATCCTTGGCCTTGCCCACCTCCTCGATACGAGCAGCACACGACGCGCTGCTGCGGCGCAGCGAAGCCGGCAGAGCCTGGCGAAGGAAGCGAGGAAGGAAGCAGCGACCACGGCAAAATAACCGTGAGCCGACGTGGGGAAAAGAACCGAGAGCTCAGGTTTTGACGCGCGAGACGGGGGCAGTTTTTGGCCGTGGCGATCACTCATCAGCGTGACAGCGTCAGTCGTTGCGCCAAGTGGACACAGCCCGCAGTCTCAGGCAGTCACGCGGTACCCCTCATTAGCTACGCCAAAAAGCCCCCGGGATACCTGCACTTCTGCTGCAGGGTGCGAGCAGCGGAGCACCACCCTCCTCTCACTTGGCCACAACACAGCCCCAAAAATGCTTGTGGCCCTCACGAGCGCAAAGAAGACACGTCACTGCCATGCGGGCCCAACCTTGAGGCAACCATAGTGTGGCCCCCGCATGGCAGTGAAAATAGTTCGTTTGCATGCATGTATACACCTACTGATCGCACCATTGACATGTGAGTAAAATATTGGCATAATGCTGGATACACACGGACACATGCACCTGATCATGGAATGTAGTAGTTGGAGTAGGATGCATGCCAATGCGTTGCTGTTCTACAACATGGTATACGGATAGTTGTTTCGCTACTCAATTATATCGTCTAAAATTATACAGCATGTTCGTTTGGCTGTGGCTTATCGTAAATGATCATAAATTTTTAGTTGGAACAGTATTTTTCTTTCATATAAATCAATCAACAATACTTTTTCATAAATCAGCAACGAAACGAACCAGCACAATCGAACATGCTGATAGTTGCCTCCTTTAAAGTTATGTTCTGATGATTGTACGATATTGTTATACAGGATACAATAGCGACAGAGGACTCGACATCTGAAAATCTATATAAATCACGCCGTACACTCCAGTCACAGGAAAGCATTTATGGGATAGCGTGACACCACTGTTTAAAAAGGCTGGCCTTTTAGGCCGCGTTTAGTTGCTGGCCGAAGTTGGCCGGAAAGAGAAGTTACTGTAGCATTTTGTTTTTATTTGGTAATAATTGTCTAATCGTTGACTAATTAGGCTCAAAACGTTCGCCTCGCAGAGTACAACCAAACTTTGCAATTAGTTTTTTACTTCGTCAATATTTAGTACTCCATGCATGTACCACAAATTTGATGTGACGGAGAATCTTCTTTTTGCATAGTGTTAAAGTTGAAAATTTGGTGGAACTAAACATGGCCTTAGAAGTGCTGACTAATATGAAATTGTTGTCACATCAAGCACTCACCTCTTATCATTGATGGGTAAAGAAGAATTAAAGAACATGATAAGGAACCAATGGAGTTTTAAAGGTGTTTATGAATATGAACCAAGAAGTATTTCTGTTGAGTGGGTTATTGGAGCATCTCTTGCAATGCTTTCACTGCTTTTTCTTGTAACCTTTCTTGTCTCTTAGGCTGGTGTGTTTGCCAGTGCTCTGTTCCTCTCACTTTCCCCTACTCTGTTTAGTTGTACTCCCAAACTTTTGGTTTTAATTAATTAATCTTGCTGTAGGGGCTCAAACCCCTCCAGTTCCTTTCAAAAAAAATTGGAGCATCTCTTGTTGCCAGTAGACTGATGAGCTTATGCCCTCCAGGCCTCAACATTTGGCCAACTTTTTTTAGTTCTAATAAAGCGAGCAAATGGGATTTACATATGGTTAATGGGTCATACGCAGTCTGGGTGGCTTGGGCACAACACGACAAATGGTTATCTGTTTAGGAATCGTCGCAGATATCACCGTACTAATATGTACCCACCTTTATTTCACCTTGGCTGGCAGCGGTACAATCAGTCCGTTTGTTTGTTAATTTCGATCAGCCTAAATCAGTCAGTTAACAGTATTTTTCTTTCACAACAAACCAGCACCAGCCAGCCCAGAAACCAACCAGCGAATAAGCCGAATATTTACAGGGTCAGCCGAAAGTGTGACAGTTTCACTTGGCCCGGCCACTCTAGGCGTGTGTGTAGCTATTGCCTGTTCAATCAAAAGAACACCGACACCTTGCCACAAGAATATACATGATTATCTGGAACTTTAGGACTAGGTACATTGAAAAACCGGGAACAGCCTTGGACTGGCTGACTCGGATGGATGTAATTTAGCACCAAAAAAAAGAGAACCTTGGCACCACCTATCACATTGGGTCTATGCTTTTGGAAACATTCAATAACTAGAGCCATTTGCCCATTTCAAGCAAGCGCGCCCTGACTGCCGCACAATTTCTCCCAGTGGGTTGTGTCGCGACAGGATACTCTGCCCACAGAAGAATCTGTCCTCGTCTAAGAAAAAAAAAAGAGAGGACGAATCTTTCCTGGTGTTACCAACAAACACGCATACAACCAAGCAATTGCTGAAAACAATAGCAAATGTCAAGCAAAAAACGTCGAGGTGAACGTAGACGCAATATCGACGGAGGAATCATCGATTCAAACTTTATTCCAAATTTATCCTTCTCCGGAAGGACGGCAGCAGCACCATGACTGACTAGGATCCAAAAGCCTAACCGGAGGTATTTTACATCACATCGAAAAAGATAAACGCTGCGGAATACATAGGGGCAGAACAGGACGTGAAACAGCTATGCTAGAGAGCTTAGAGGCAGGCGTATCAAAGCATGGAAGGCTGAACCGAGTTGTATTCTTAGGAAATCTTGCAGTTGATGCAAGGCTACTGATTGTACACAACTGGAGTTGATTCACATTCAACGGTAGTTGCGAAAAATGGGGCTGTACATGCAGCTCTCTGCAAATTTCACCAGGTCCCTTGGCCGAGGGCGCCTACTTGCCAAACCTACACGTGAGAAGAGTTGGTGATGAGCCAATCTTTGTTGATAAGAGCACAGTCATTTTACTCATTTTTGTTATGAGATAGGCGGCTATGATGCTAACCAAGTTCATATGCCTTTGCTGCAACGATGGCTGCAATGTGAGCAGAGATCTTCCGGATGTTTGAGAAGGGAGGATAAATGAGCCCCTTTTCAAAATTTTCTTCTGTGACCTGCTGGGCCAGAGCCTCCGCTGTTCCAAGATGTATGATCAAAGTATTAGCCAGTTCAGCATCTACTTCAAAGAAGGCCTAAAGTGTGCATCAACCAGCAAAATTGTTCATTGGTTACCTATTATTTCACATGCGAATTATATAGGTAATTCAAGTTCAAATTTAAACTGAGGCCTACTTTATATTGCATATTCTTTGGTTGGGTTGAGCTCAAAAAGAGAGAACCATATAGAAATGAATGCAATTACGGTAATAAGATGTGATGCTTTTATCTATAACTAAGCCCTAGGAGCACTTACATGCTGCCAGAAGCATGTCATCATGAACGCGGATAGCCCCAGACATCACCACACCAAGGCCAAACCCTGGGAAGATATAGGCATTGTTTGCCTGTAGAAGCAGGATCAGTTCTGAACATTTAAAGCACACAAAATATCTGCGACGACATGAGCATTGAGCAGTGTTCATCATCCATACCTGTCCGGGAACATGTATCTTGCCATTGTACTCCACAGGATCAAATGGACTCCCAGTTGCAAACACTGCTTGGCCCTGTGAATTCAGACTGTTAGTGCAGAACCATGGCTGATAAAAAAGTTGACGTGACTGCTGACTGAGATCATTACCTTGCTCCATGTGTAAGCTTGCTCAGCTGTGCATTCTGATTGCGATGTTGGGTTCGAAAGGGCAAGAATGATTGGTCTCTGTGGCGTTTAACAAAACACTGAGCTTCTAACCTTGTTGCCTCAATAGACTCAGAACTAACAAGTTGAGTTAGTGGAAGTTACCTCGTTAAATGAGGAGATCGCTTCAACAACGTCTTTTGTGAAAGTTTGCCCCTTCCCGGATGTGCCAATCAACACTGTTGGTTTGATAGCCTGGAATGCCGTTTGGGTCAGGATACAGGATTGTAAAGATACAGGTGGCCATGATACATATAGAATCCATAATTTTTCTTGAGGGCAAAATCATACATTAACAGCATCTAAGAGGTTGCTGACTGGTTTATGCTCATGAGCCCATGATTTCTTGAAGTGTTGAAGGGACTCCTTTCGTGTACTGACAATCAAGCCCTGTTAATTGATCAGTATTTCAGTTAGCAATAAGGAATAAACTGATGTTCTGAGACAAAGATATAATGAAATAAAAGCGAGGAGGCCCTCTTGATAAAATTGACCTTTGAATCAACAAGCCAGATTTTCTTGCGGCACTCCTCTATAGGAGCTTTCGTCTGCACATTTAGAAATTGTTAGGCCATCCAGATGTGTATAGCACAAGCCGGAAACAACAGAAAATACCAACAGGAAATGAAGAAGCACCTGACGTGAGATCTCAAGAGCTATAAGTTCAGCGATACCTGTCCCAGCCTGCAAGCAACAGAGCAACTATTGATATGGGAAGAAAGATGGCAAACAAACCAACATTGGGATCTGAGAAAAATGCAGTTGTGAACAAGTTGAGTTAAAAAAAATTATAAATATAAATCCCAGGCATAGAAAGCTCCACTAATAAAATAAGAATGATATACGCTATTTTGACTACCAAATTACAAATAGTTGAGTCGATACTTGGTTTGCATATAGCATGACGCGCTTGGAATAATGCGGGTTAGATCAGTACATTACATCTGGTATTTTATTAGATAACAATACCGTAGAAATCAGCATATAAAAACTTGCTTGAAATTAAATGCCTATAAAAGAGTCACACAGAAAATGACCTCTCCAGCACCCAGGAAAAGGTAAGTGTGATCTGCCAATGAACCACCAAGTAGTGTTTGTGCTGCAATAAGCCCAGCAAGAACCACAGAAGCTGTTCCCTGCAATATATAAGCATTACAAATTTAAGAAATCACTTTTTAATAAGCCAACTTGCATTTAATCTTATTTTGTAAATATGACACAGTAAGTCACTTGGCAAACAAGTTATAAGGCATCAAATTAT